AAACTGCCAGCTCTTCCGTTTTCTTCCCTTTTATTAATCACTGGGGTGCACAGTGTGCCTGCTTCTTCAAGTGTCTGCAACTTGCTTTTGCACTAGGATTTTCTTCTACTTAAGTAAGCGCAGTGAGCTTTTCCATCCAGGCGTGATGCAAAGCCCACGGCTGTCAACGGGACGCTTTCCACCAATTTAATGGTTTTTTTGATGAAGCTCTGTGCCATTGCACAGTATTCCAGCGTTCCTTGATACACTCAAACACCAGAGACAGGAGGGACTCATTGAAAAATGCAGAGCAAGGTAGACTGTTTTGGTATCAAGCTGCGCGGACTGTAGCATACACGACTTAGAAACAAGCACTGTGTGTATCCCGCACCACGCAGCTCTCCAAAAAAAGGCATAATAATTGGATTTTTTGTACAATCATGTTTCTGTCATTAGTAGCAAATGGCTACAGTCATTATATTCCAGTGGCAGCTGTTTTTCCTCCAGAGGATGCCATGGGACCACGTTTCATTTTCTGCCTGGCATATGCCAAGATACAGGATGCAACTAAACCCCAACAAAAACCAAAATGCTAACATGTTGGAGGGCCAAATGAATAGAGATTCCTCCCCTTTCCCCCCTCGATCCCCTGCATGTTTGGGCTGTGGATTTGGAGCTCAGGTGTCATGCCACCACCAGTGTGCACCAACTGTTTTCTCCTGTGCCCCCCGTAGCTGAATGTTCATTTAGCAAGAGCAGCCTGCTCTGCGCATGCCGGCGCTCCAATGCCAAACCATCCGTCAAGCGCACAGCGGTGAGGTTCTGACAAGATAATCGCATGGAAGGGACTTGCTTTGTCTATTACCTTTTGCCAGTGCTCAGAAGCCAGCCCAGCTGGCTCAGTGGAACACAGCGGGACCGGAACACAATATGGTTTATTAGCCCACAGGCAGGCAGAGAGAATTTATTCCCTCTGAGGCTGTTCTCCTGGTGGGAAGTAGTTATTCCGATAAGGATAAGCTCACCTTGACAGAACAGCTTACGAAAATTTAATTGCAATTTACATTAACAAATGTACCTTCTTTTCCATGCACTGTGTACAAGTCCAGGGATATTCCCTCCAGATGCCTGATCAGGACTCGGGAGCAGCAAAGGAGAAGCCAGCCACTAAGGGTTCCATTTCAGGTTTCGCCCTGGGCCCAGCACACAGGGATGGACTTTAGGGATTTCACCGCTGTTCTCGGATCCCTGTGCAGTGCAGACACCATCCATAAAGTTTATAGCCGTACCTCTCGCTGTGGGGTCTCAGTGCTTCGATCGAAGTAGTCACTCAATCACCTGGCACGCGCCCCAATGGGTTGCTCCCTATAGGAACAGCTTAGCAGCCTCAGTGGCAGGTTTGAAATAGCTGAGGTCCCAAAAAAATTCCAGCTTATGGCTCTTTCAGCTGAGCTCTTAACAACCGAGCACTTGTTTTTTCCTGCATGGACAGACACCCTGTGCGAGTGGTTTTCAAAGACCGGGTCGCAACCCAGTACTGGGTTGTGGAATGCCAGGCACTGGGTCACATTGCTACAGGGATGCTAAGCCAGATTTCCACCCTGTCCTGGCAACACGGACTGCTCTGCCCCCCAGAAGTGGCCAACCGAAGGTCCGGCTCCTCAGAAGGGAGCCAGGGGGCTCCACACACTCCCCTCCCCCTGAGCGCCAGATCTACATTCCCATTGGCTGGTTTCCAGCCAATGGGAGCTGGGAAGCACGGCGCCTGTGCATGAGAGCAGGGCGCAGAGCCGCTTGTGCGCCCAGCCTAGGACTTGGACCTGCCACTGGCCACTTCCGGGGCACAACATGGTCTGAGGTGCCAGGGCAGGCAGGAAGCTGCCGTAGCACCACCGCCCCTCTGCTGCCTGAGAGTCACGCCCCTGCCCAACCTAGCGCCCCGATCCCCTGCACCAGCCCTGAGCCCCCTCCAGCCTCCCAATCCTGGCCCCACCACAGAGCCCACACTCTAGTCAAAAGACACAATTATGTGGGGTCATGGGAACCCAAAATTTTCTTTATTCCCACTCCCACACTGGTGGCATTGCAGGGACACATACAAAGCGTTTATGGCGCTCTGCTGACTACAAGTCCAGGAGCGATTTAAAATGCTCTCCCCACACACACGGGAGAGGAGGACAAGCTCTCCACGTGACAGCCACAGGGCCAGTTCTAGAGTGCTCCGTTTAATGCCCTAGCACCAGCCAGGGAGTGGGATACTTGTGAGGACAGTGGGAGGAGGTCAGATAGGTCTCTCTAGTGTTAGTACGTGGTAGCCCCCAGTGCATACTACGCGCTTTCCAAATGCTGAAGGACAGCCCCTGTTTTGAAGAGCTTGCCAGTTACAGGCAGCAGATAGGAAACAACAACTTAGATGCAATTTATATATAAAAATCAACAATGTAGTCGGTTGTTTGTCTGGGGGAGGGGGGGGGCTGCTACCTCAGTGGCGGTATTTTTAAAGGGGACTGTCTCCTTACAGTGTATCACAGAATCCCAGGGCTGGCAGAGTCATCGAGTCCAGCCTCCTGCCCAAAGCAGGACTAATCCCAACTAAATCAACCCAGCCAGGACTTTGAAAAACCTCCAGGGATGGAGATTCTACCCCCTCCCTCGGTATCCTAGCAGTCACCTACTCTCAGTAAAAACAATGAGTAGTCCCGTGGGACTTTAGAGACAGGGTTAAATGAGGCAGATTCTCCCCAGAGCAGTGGCTTTGGCCAAGTCTTCATGACAAACGCTGCTGGAGCACTTCAGTGCAGAAGGTCACTACAAGGAGTGGAGAGGGGCCCCCCCACCACCCCAGAAGAGACGGTGGCTAAGTTGATGGAAGAATCCTTCCTTCCTTTGACCTAGCACATGAACAGCATGGGTTAGGTCGTCTTAACTCCGTCATTCAGGGGTGTGGATTTTTCACACTCACTCCCAGAGACACAGTTTGGTTGACCTCACTTTTTAGGCCAGGACTCCACTGTGTTATGCTGGCTGATGAAGGAAGGTGCCACTCAGTAGCTGAGCATCAGAATTTGGCTTCAGATTAGCATTGGTGTAAAATGCTGAGGTGTTCAAATCACAGGCACCTTGGAAGCTTGAAATGTCGTTACCAGCTAAGCGTTCGCCATCCTGTGCAGAACCAGACTTGACTATACTATCTTCTAGCTGGATTCTCTTCTGGAGACTCAGGTCCCTGCGACTCAAAGTGATAGAGAAAGGAAGGGAGCAAGACTCTCCCTTCAGCCAGCAGAGCGAGAGGTGAACTTGAAGAATTGGTATGAAGGGAGGCTGGCGGATTAAGATTCGGAATGGTAGTGATGCTAGGCTACAGGAAAGTGAATGAAGAGAGATTAAAAGGAGATGAAATCTGAGCTGACGGGAGTCCTTCATTGGTTCCCCTCCCTCCCTCCACATAAGCATGTCTGATATGCTCTCATCCTACCCTCACGTTCGTACTGCCCCATGCATGCTGCTTTCAAATCTCTGCAGCCTATCATTACGAGGTGCTATCATGTGTCTCTATCCCACTGAAAGAACAATGGTCACCCTTCACAGGGGCTGGGCTGAAGGGACCATTTTCTTTGGACAACGTTCTGTGCCAGTGACTATGCCTCATTCTACCAAAGGATTACCAGAGCTTAGTGCTGTGAAGGGGGAAATTGGCCGAGATCTCAGGGAACCAGAGCCTTTCACCTGTAGGGCTCCAATTATATTCCAGCCCAGGCTGACTGACTGAAAGAGATGATGCTTCACCACA